GCAAATCACTAACCTTGTTTGCCTCAGTTTCCCCATATGCAAAATGAGCTGGAGAAGGAAATGGCGAAACCACTCCAGCATCTTTGTCAAGAAACCCCAAATGGAGTCGCACAGAGTTGGGCATGACTGCTATGACTGAACGACCACCATGGGTCTTGAGGCAGCTTGGTGGCCCAGTGGATAGCGCACTGGCCTGGAGGCAGGAAGGCCTGGGTTCAAACCCAGCCTCAGACGCTTAGTAGTTGTGTGACCCTGGTCCGGTCACTTAACCTCTGCTTGCCTCAGTTTCCTCATCTGTAAAAAAAAGTGGGGATAAGAATACACCTACTTTGCAGGGTTGTTATGAGGAGAAATGAGATGATAGTTGTAAAGCACTTATCACAGTGCCTGGCACATAGTAGGTGCTTTATAAGTGTTAGCTCTTCTTACTATTTTCTTAGGCTTAAAAGAAGCTCAACCTGGATGAGCCCTTTTTCCGAGGAGGAGTGAAGAATGTTTCTCTTCCAAAGTTCCTAGGGAAGGAGAAAGAGGATTCCCCTGAAGCCTCTTCTTAAGGGGCTGCCCCAGGCACCGAGCTGCTCACAGTGCACGCTTGACCCCAGCCTTCCTGCCTGCTGAGCCGCCCAGGTTTCCACTCTACTCTGCTGCCTCTCGACCCACCGGTAGGACACAGAAAACATGTCCAAACAGCGCTAGGGGCATTATCTCTACTTATCTTTACAATAACCTTGTCTAGTAGGTGCAATTGTCATCCCCACTTTATAGATGAGGAAACCGAGGTAGACAGAGGTCAAGTGGCTTACCCATAGTCACACAGCTAGCACATGTCTCTGATGGGATTTGAACTCAGGTCTTCCTGACTCCACACCTGTGTATGTGTGTGTGTATGTACATATATGTGTATTGTATATATGTACGTATATATGTATATCTATGATGACACATTCTATTAAATACAACTAAAGCTTAAAATTGCTTTGGGACATTTGTGACCCCCTATGTATAGGATGTATAAATCCATGTATGTACACGCACACACACACACACACATATGCACAGATATACAAAAGGAAACAAAGTGAGGGCAAAGTTGTCTTTTGGGCTGAGAGAAAGCATCAATGATTGGGATGAAGACAGGCCTTATATAGGAAGTGATCCCTGAGCTGGGCCTCGGAGGGAGGGAGGGATTCCCATAGGTGGAAGGAATGCACACACCTGTACACAGGTAGGGACGGCGTGAGCAAAGGCCCACTGGTGGCCGATGGACGATCCATCCAAGGAATGGTGAGGAGACGCTTGGCTAGAAGGCAGAGCCCAAGGTGGAGAGGCCTGGAAAGAGGGCTTGGAGCCAGCCTGGGCAGGGCCTTTACTGCCAATCCGAGGAGTTTGCCCATAGAGGCAGCTGGTGGGCCGAGGGGGTCTCCCTGTCTGTCTTGTTCTCAGGAGGCATTTCGCAGATGTCTGGGGAACAGGACTACACGTCTTTCCTTCCTTCTTTTTCTTCTTCCTTTTTTTCTTTTCTTTTTTCTTTTTTTCTTTCCTTGTTGTTTTTTTTTTAACCCTTTCACCCACTGCCACATGCCATAAGTCCATGCCTGCTCTGCCAAGCCAGAGCCCTCGGCTTCTCTGCCAAGAGCTGCCCCCTAGACTCAGACCGCCTGAGCTCAGGGCAGAGCTTCCCAGGTCTTGCTCCACTCTGCAAGGGCAGACTCAAGGACACACTAGTCTCTGGACATTGGAGATGTCGGAGGCTTGGCCCGCGGGGGTACACAGGTGATACGGCCCCGCTTTGGGGGGCAGTGAAGTCCACTGTCCTTCTCCAGGACCCAAACACAGATCACCTCAACACTACTAAGTTTTGCGGCCAGAGAGCCGAGCCACACTTCTCTCCTGCCCGGCCCTTCGGAAAGGGGGTGCACAAGCCTGGTGTCTGGCCACTGCTCCTTTCCTTTTCTCTGTGGCCCATTTTCAAGAATCCCTCCAGCCTAACCCTGGGTGTGCAGCCCTCCCTCCAGATAAAGTCCAGTCTAACCTGTCGGGCCAAAAGCTCACTGAGCTGCACTCCCCCTACACACCCCTCCCCGCAAGCAGGCATTGGTCCCATTTGCTTGAAGGGATTTGGGGGAGAGCTCAGCTGAGTCCCTGCTTCACTCTGCCATCTTGGCTCCGCCTCCAACCCCATTTGCTTGAAATCCTGAAATGTGGGGATGCCTGAGCTTCAGCTCCCCTAAACTAGAGCAAAGCTCTGGACTGAGTCTCGTAGGCTGTCCTGGAGGGCGAGGATGGGGAAATTAATTAGGTAGTTTTAGGACCACTGAAATGAGAACCGCAGCACCCAAAGAGTGGGCATTGCTGGGCCCGTGCCGACTTAGAGAAAGGTCTTTAGGAGAGTGCCCCAAGGCTCTATGCTTGGCCGGGAGTTTTAAACAGTTTTACCAGTGACTTGGATAATGGTATCAAGAGCAATTATTAGATACTTGCAGGTGACACCATGCTAGCAGAGATGATGAACACCCTGGCTAACGAGAGTCAGGACCCCTCTGATCATCCCTGCTAGGCCAAGCCGGAAACAGTTAAGATGATAAGGACCAAGGTCACCTCTGATGTGGACCCAGAAATCAGATGGGCAGGTGCAGGTGAGGCAGATGGGGTCAGAGAGCAGGTCACGTAAAGAAGCCCTGGGGCTGGTGCTGGGGGGAGGGCAGGGCTGGGAGGTAGGGTGGTGCGGATGATAGGGGTGGGGCTGAGGGTGGGGTGGAGGGGATGATAGGGGTGGGGCTGGGGGGAGGGCAGGGCTGGGGGCTCCATGAGAATCAGCCGCTGGACATGGCAACCAGCCAAGAACCTTCACACACAGGAGGCGATGCTTCCAGAAATCAGGAGGCAATAACACTTGTGCTCTACTCTTCCCTGGAGAAGAGAAGGCTTAGGTAAGAGATGACAGTGGCGTTCACATCTTTCCACAACGGTCCAAAGGAAGATGGACCTTGCTCTTGACTCCAGCACTAGGAGCTCTGGGTGGAAACTGCAGGGAAGTAGGTTGAGGATGGGGGTCAGGGAAGACTTCCTGCCAATGAGGGCTGCCCCAGAGTGGAGTGGACTGCCTAGGGAGCCGGTGGCTTCTCCAGCCCCGAGCGTGTCAAGCCCAGTGTGGAGCCCCACTTCTCCCAAAGATTGGAGAGGGGATTGCTGCTCTCCAGCCCTGAGCAAAGTGGTTGTCATTCAGCCGTTCAGCCGTGGCCACTGCTTTGTGACCCAGTGGCCCAAAGCACTGTGGGCCTTTCCAACACGACGGGCTCATCTTCCAAAGTCATCTCTTTTAGCATTTTAATACTGGCCAAGGGGTTTTCTTGGCCAAGAGACTGGAGAGGTTGGCCATTTCCTTTGCCGGTGGATCACCTTTTGTCAAAAAAACAAAAACAAAAACAAAACCTTAGCAAAGTGTCTGGTGCTTAATAAGTGCTCGTTGATAACTGACTGACTGCTTGACAGTTCAGGGAGAGGTTAGATTCTATGACCTCTGAGGCCCCTCCGAAGTCTGAGGTTTTACGATTCCTCAACCTCGAAGCCTCTGTCCCCACCCACTCCAATGACACCTTCTCCGGGGCTGGGCTTCGGAGCCTTTTGGTGTGTGCCTTGGACCCTTCCTTCCAGCAGGCTGGTGAAGCCCATGGGCCCTGTCTCAGGATCATATTTTTGGATGCAGAAGATGAGACATAGGATTACAAAGAAACCAAGTACAGTGAAATACAGTCACCAAAGTAGCTTTGAAGACAAATTCAGGGCCCAGGGTTAAGAAACCCTGCTCTGGGATTTAGGAGAGAGCTCCCAGCTGCGTCATTTGGAGATCTCTTTATTAGGAATCCTTCCGTTCCTCTGCTCCTTGCCCCCAGTTAGGCTGAAACAGCCCTTTGGGAACAAGAGGGTGCCCAGTACTTCATCCTTCCCTTGAAGCCGACAGGGCCCTTGCTACCTGTGGGATGGGCACAAAAGAATCCATGGAGCCAGAGGGAGTGTGACTGAATAAGTGAAGGAAAGCCCAGTGTGGCCCAGGTTTTCTTGGGGGGATTGCTGAGGCCAAGGCAGAAAGGAGGAGTCAGATTCCAGTCCTGCATGCCTCCTGTGACCCCACTGAGCAGTCATTTTTTTTAACCTCCCTTGGCCTCCCCAGTTTCCTCATCTTTAAAATAAGGGGTTGATGAATTCAGTTCTATTCAAAAAGCATGTATTAAGTACCTGTTCTAGTATGTGCAGGACACTGTGATTCCAAAGAAAAACAACACAGCCTATGTCCCCAAGATGCTTATATTTCAGAAAGACTAGTTTTGGTGCAGAGGGCGTGGGTTCAAATCCTGTCTCTTCTACTTATTGCCTGTATTGACCGGGATAAGTGTCTTCCCTTCTCTGAACCTCAGTCTCCTCCTCTGTCAGAGGAGGGGGTAAGAGAAGATGACCTCTAACCTATGGTCTGGCACTGAACCTGCCTGGACCTCAGTTACCCCATTTGGAAAATGAGAAGGCTTGTTTGGATGGCCCCCCTCAAATGTCTGATCTTATAGACAGCCATAGATCCAGGGCCTTCCCACCCCTCACTTAACAGAAGGGGAAATGAAGGGCACTTTTTGTGCATTGCCCCAGATCCCCAGGTGGTGAGCCCCCAAGAATGCTAGAGCCAGGGCTCTTCTCTCTGGGCTGCACTGCTCAGTCTTTTCCTCTAGGAACGCCCCTGGGCCTCAGCTTTCCTATCTGGAAGACGAAGAAGGATCCATTGGATGCTTCTGGATCCGCTATTCTGCGGCTCTAAGTAAGGCTTCCTCTTCTAGCCCGGCAGGGGGCGGCAAGGAGGCCTCCAAACTACAACCCCCACAAGGCTTTGCGAGACGGGCTCGTGCTCCTCCTGGCGGCAGGCGCGGACGCGCAACGCGGTGCACTGTGGGAAGTGCAGTTCGTGCGTAGGCGCATGGGACGCCGAGGCGACGGGCGCCCCCGCACCAAAATGGCGGCGCTCCGCCGCACCCTCCTCGTTCGCTTCCCGTCGGGGTCGTGGGGCCGGGGGGCAGGGCGCTAGCGGTGAGCGGGGGCCCGGGGGCAGTGGGGAGGCCACTCTGGGAGGGCGGGGGCCAGATCGGGACAGGGCCTGGGCATCTCCGCCCCCATTCTTCAGGTGGGGAAACTGAGGCCCAGAGTGGGGAAGCCCTGGTCCAGAGTCACCAACTGACGCCGATGCGAGCCCCGGGTCTGGACTCAGGGCCCCCCCCGCAGAGGCCGGCAGAGGGGGCTGAGCGTTCAGGGAGGGATTGGAACCCACAGCAGTGGCGCTCACCCCGGGGGAGGGGGGGGATGGGGGTGGGGACGGAGCGTCTCTGGGCTCGTGGTCTGTGTGTGTGGAGGGGGGGGAGGAGTGGGAGGGCCGGGGGCGGGGCCGACTCTGGGTCACGTGGAGCAGATCGCCCCCCCCAAGGGCGAGGGTCAGACACCGAACGTTGCAAACACATTGAAACATTGTTGCCCCGCCGGGGCTCCCCCTCCCCCGCAGTCCCCCAGTCCCTCCCCCCCCCCCGGGAGCCATCATCCCCACACTACGGAGCAGC